GAACTCAGACTTAACAAAACATTTTACTTTTTGTTACATGTAATCAAGGTATATATATTTTTTAAAAATCTAAAGTGATTTTTTTCATATTAATAAAATTCCAGATGTAGAATTCAATAAAATAATCTCTCCTTTCAATTTTACATTTGGAAATGTGTTCTGGTTTACATTTTTATGTCTAGGACTTCCAAATACTTTATTTTTCACTGTTCTTAGGGTCCAAGGTAGAGTGAGTTCTATCTTTTGCCTATTCTGATAGGCAAAAATGATTGACCTGAGATCTAGATTAAGACCATCTTATTGAATTCATTCAAGACCCAGTGAAGATTGACCTAAAACCTAAGAGTGGATCTGGAGCTTAAGAAAACTAATCTAGGGCCAATTTAGAATCAAACGATGCAGCTGAGTAGCTGAGGCACGTTGTTTATATTAACATTTACTGTGTACCTACTCTGTGCCAAGCACTGTATGAAGTGCTAAGGTTACTGTGCTGACCAAGACCTGACCTCATGGAGCAAAGTTGACAGGGCAGAAAAGTAAAGATATGGAATAATTACACAGTACATACTGTTTTAGTCTGCTCTTACACTGCTGATAAAGACATACCAGACTGGGTAATTTATAAAGGAAAGAGTTTTAATGAACTCATGGCTCCTCATGGCTGGAGAGGCCTTATAATTATGGTAGAAATTAAGGAGGAAGCAAGACACATCTTACATGGCAGCAAGCAAGAGATAACTTGTGCAGGGGAACTCCTTTTTATAAAACTGTCAGATCTTTATGTATTTATTTACTATCATGAGAACAGCACGATAAAGACCCACGCTCATGATTCGATTACCTCCCACCAGGCCCCTCCCATGACACATGGGATTGTGGGAGCTACAATCCAAGATGAGATTTAGCTGGGGACACAGCTAGACCATATCACATACTAGGAAGAAGTATGATGCAAGTGTATAATAGACCTGAAGTAGTCTGAGAGAGCAAGAAATCCTTCCCGCTGGAAATGGCATTTAGGCCAGACACAGTGACTCATGCCTGTAATCTCAGCACTTTAGGAGGCCAAGGTGGAGGACCACTTGAGTCCAGGGATTCAAGACCAGCATGGGCAATGAAGTGAGACTCCATCTTTACAAAAAAATTTTAAAAAGGATAGTTAAGCATGGTGGCATGTGCCTGTAATCCCAGCTACTCGGGAGGTTGAGGTGGGAGGATCACTTGAGCCAGGAAGGTCAAGAATATGGTAGGTTATGATTCCATCACTGCACTCCAACCTGGGTGACAGAGAAAGATCCTGTCTCTTAAAAAAGAGAAAAGACAATGGCATTTAATTGAAGATCTGAAGGTCAGACAGACATTTTCCTAGGCAAACATGGAGGGGTAAGAGTGTTCTAGGCCAGGGGTCCCCAACTCCAAGACAGCAATGACTGTCTTGTAGACTTTCCATTTAGGCACATAACTGAGTTGTGAACCAGACATATGAGTGTAAGGATTCAGATAGGTAAATAGGGCTGTTGAGTCCTGGACACTCGTTTGAGGTCCAGGTAGAAATCCAGGCTTGGAGAGAGAATGAGGTATTTGTGATGCACCAGATTTAAGCCATGGGAACAAAGCTGAAGGACTGGTCTTCTGGACAAGGACAGTATACTGTGGGAGCCCTGAGGAAACCTGGAATTACCCCGGGTCTAAAAAGCCACTTAAGAGCAATGTGGGGACCCAGGTGTCCTCACAGCATTCCTGAATCTGTGTAGTTTGCAAAGATTTGACTCATTTCCAGATTCCCCTGGATTGCAGGTCTTCCATGCTTTGTATCTCATTGTCTTAGCTGGGGATAGCTCAGGGACAGGACTGTGGATCTAGCTGTGAGAAACTGGAGTGGAGAGACCGTGGAGAAGGGCAGTGTCAATGCCACCCTCCTGTTGTGTCTGGGTCCTCACATTGTCATCCTTCACACGCTTTGCAACTCTCTAAAGGTGAACGAAGTATTCTCTTGAAAGCTCAAGTAGTGTATTACTAAATTCCACACCATCTATTGGTGAAATCTATTTTGCACTCACCTACAATCTCATTGGATTTGTTCCTATCCCTTCATGTCTTTGTTCTTTAAAAAATAGACTTTTTTCTAACTTTGAGAATTAAGTGCAAATTAATTTTAAAATTAAATTTGATCTTAGGGATCATGTACTAAACAGAAATGATCCAGAACAGGGAGGGGTAGCTCAGTACCACTGAGGAAGCGAATGCCTATTTAACATGTGTCAAACATGAGCTCCCTTTTGGGACCATGGCTTGCTCTGGGTACCGGGGAATATGATGAAGTATAACTCTCACAGCTCAATCTTTCTTATCTTTTAATTTTTCCTTTTCTACTCCAATCCTCTTACCACCAATTAAGATTTGGTGTTATATAGAAATATACCACCCCTGCTTAATTCTAGCCATAATCTCATTTTATTGTGAACCAATCTAATTTGGAGGAACTTCTAGGGAATTTCACCATGTTAAATGTTGTAAAACTCCTATTAGAGATGCCTTCAACTGACCTGGACCATGAACTGTGCTGTCACACGTACTTGCTTCTAGGAGATTCCAACACCAGGGAAAAGCATACCACTCAGTAGTGCAAAGACTGGCTATAACATGTTAAGATGTCTTTTGCAAAACAAGAGATATCTCAATGAATACTCAGTATTTGGTAACAGACACCCTAAAAGGTAAAAAAACAGAAAACATGCTGCAAGGAGTACTTTTCAGTGTCACTTACTGGTCCCTGGATGAGAAATGTTTGCATGCTGAATTATTCAATCAAAACCTAAGTACAAGTGATATCGGATAAGTTAGTCAGGAGGTTTTCTACTTTGGTTGGTGGGAAGAGAAAGTGTTCTTGGCCTTGTGCAAAAACCCCAATTATTACTTACTCTGGCTTAGAGGGTTTCTCCCTGGGCTTTGGGTAGTTTCCACCCAAATGCATGTGCTCATCAGTACGATGCTGAAGACTCAAGGTCCCTCTGCACACTCCCAAGTGCTCTCTCGGTGCAGCACTCTCCTCTCTCTGGAACTCTGCCTTTTGAACCTGAGACACTATGGCCTCTCCGCTTTCCCAGCAATTTGTGCCCCAGCTCAGGGGGATCACTGGCAACCTGCCTGGATTCCCCTTCTTGTGTCATTACCTAGAGACTCTCCAGGCTGTAAGCTAGGGCAATCATGGGGCTCACCTCTGTTTGTTCCCATCTTTCAGGGATCATTGCACTTTGTTGACTCATGTCCAAGGTCTTGAATACCATTGTCTCATTTATTTTTGTCTGCATTTCTTAGTTGTTTCAGGCATGAAATCCAGTTCCACTTACTTTATCTTGGCTAGAAGCAAAATCCCTCTAGAGCTATTTTAAAGTTGTTAAGATTGTTTTCAGTGCTCATTTTTTGAGGCCCCAATCCGAAGGATAACAAACCCGTGAAGGTAATCTATATCTAAGAGTAAACTTTTATCTTATGGCAAAGTGAAATGAAAGATTTTAACTATTCTTTTAAAATCCTTTTCTTGAGTCACTAATTTAATATACAGTTATAGTTTCTCTGTAAAGGATTTTTTAAAATTAACAGTAACTTCCTTACAAATCATTTTTATATTAATGAAATTGTTATGAAGACTAAGTTTAATAGTTAATGAAACTGCTGGAGATTTACCTTTTCAGGCATATTTTTACATATTTATTCATTTAGTTTTACATATTTTTGATGCCTTTAAAAAATTTCCTCAGTATTTTCATGGGCTCTTAAATAGCTCACCAGCTCTAGCAGTTGGGCCTATAGTGCCTAGTGGATAAAAGAGCCCTGCTTTCTTCTGGAGTTCAGAGTGTTTTAACATCACCCATAGCCTCTGAGCTTGGGAAGCCCTTTGTTTCCAATACAATAAGACACAGAGGTAATTTTCACATTTCCCTCTCTTAGGTATTAGGCAGGAATATGGTTGTCCCCTTGGCTAAAACTATGACCTTTAATTCAGCTTGATCCCAGGACCTCAAGACCAGCCTGGGTGACACAGCAGAAATCCCATCTCTACAAGAATTAAATACAAATTAGTCAGGCATGGTGGTGTGCACTTGTATTCCCAGCTACTCAGGAGGCTGAGGTGGGAGGATCGCTTGAGCCCGGGAGGTAGAGGCTGCAGTGAGCCAAGATTGCACCCCTGCACTCCAGCATGGGCAGCAGAGTAAAGCCCCGTTTCTTTCTTTCTTTTTTTTCTTTTGAGACAGAGTTTCGCTCTTGTTACCCAGGCTGGAGTGCAAAGGTGCGATCTCGGCTCACCACAACCTCCGCCTCCTGGATTCAGGCAATTCTCCTGCCTCAGCCTCCTGAGTAGCTGGGATTACAGGTACATGCCACCATGCCCAGCTAATTTTTTGTATTTTTAGTAGAGACGGGGTTTCACCATGTTGACCAGGATGGTCTCGATCTCTTGACCTCGTGATCCACCAGCCTCGGCCTCCCAAAGTGCTGGGATTACAGGCTTGAGCCACAGTGCCCAGCCAAGCCCTGTTTCAAAACAAAGGAAAGGAAAGGTAAGGAGAGGAGAGAGGAGGGGAGGGGAGGGGAGGGGAGGGGAGGGGAGGGAAAAGGAGAGAAAACAACACACTTCCATGCCCACTCCTGTTCATCATGCCTAGAACAGGGCCTGAGAATCTGCATTTTCATTGAGTTCCCACTTGATGCTGCTGCTGTTTCTGGTCCAGGGACCACATTTTGAGAACCAGTGGAATTGAGACTGGGATGTTTGGAAGAGTGCTGATCTTCCCAGCTGTGCGTGAGGATTCAGTGGCATGTGACATAAGACAGGCTCGGCCATGTGCCATGGCTCACACCTGTAATCCCAACACTTTGGGAGGCTGAGGTGGGTCAACTTAGCCCAGGAATCCAAGACCAGCCTGGGCAACATAGATGGACCTTATCTCTACAAAAAAAAAAAAAAAAAGAAAAGAAAAGAAAAAAAAGAGAACGCTCCATAAACATCAGCTCTCATTTATTATGATATATATAATATATCTTTTACCATATTTCATGGACTCTAAGGTGCCATCAATGGAAAGGAGCATCCTGATTGAAATGTGAGAAGCTCTGCCTTTTAGAACCAGTGAAATAGAGTAGAACCATCAGACCCACAGGCGCGCTCCCCTGCCGCTCAATCAGGTGTTTCTCTGAGCACCGGGCTCCTGGTGGACAGCCTTGGAAGGGATGACCTCTCTGGCCATTTCATGGGTGAAGGAGACGGGGACATGGGGGGTGGCAGATCTGGGAGACCAGCCCTAGGCCCTGTCCTCCCTGTTGGTCACAGTAAACGTGGAGGAAGCAGCATGCCCAGCCCCAGTGCCAGGCTGGTGGTAGCCCCTGACGTCTGGCTGCTGGCAGGGCCCGGGGCTCTGTTGCACAGGTGGCCATCGCAGCAGGCAGTGGTGAGGCTGTAGGTGACGCCCTTGTAGCTGACAGGTTCCTCACGGCCGCACCTGGTGGCTTGCACGCAGCCTTTGTTGATGACGGAACTGGGGCGATCCCGTGGCCTGTGAAGCAGTCCTCATCATCACCACAGCGCATGGGGGTGCCAGGACACTGCGTGGAGTCGGTGAGCTCACAGAAGATGCAGTCCTTGACACTCGTTGTGCCTGGGGTCAGAGCCATCACCAGAAGCAGCAGCCAGCCCAGGACCATGGTGGCCTGGCAACGTTGACACTGCCCCAGCCAGGCTGCAGGCTTCCTGGACCTCCCGGAACCACTGAATGAAGGACCTCCCAGAACGCCTCCTGCCCACAGGACTTAGGTCCTGGTCCTGGACTCCCAGGGTCAGCGCCTGGACTGTCCTCCGTTCCCGATGCCCTGTGTCCCTCTAGGTCCTGGGGATAAAGGGGAGCAGTGGCTGCTGCCCCCAACAAGTCTGTGAATGGAATGAGTGAGTGACCTCACAGACCCCTCAGGGTTCCTACTGGCTGCTCTGGGGATGAGGTCACAGGTGAGAGGAGTGAATGTCACAATCCAAGGGGTAGCCTGCCCACTGACCTGCCAGAGCACAAGAGGACTCTGACACCCCTGCCAAGGTGAAGATGCCCGGAACCCAGAGGACGCTGGTCACAAGCTTGTCCACATTTTCTGTGCTGCACCCGCCAAGGGCTTGACTTCAGCCTCACACCCTCTGTGGTGACCATGTTTTCCAGATGGGCATACTGAGGCTGGGGAAGGGAAGGTGATACATCCGGGGTCCCTGAGTCAGGATGAGGGCCCAGGTTCATTGAATGCCAAAGAGGTTGGGAAAGAAGAGGGTGTATCAACTCTTGCTGTGTGCCAAGATCCATGCTCAGTGCTTGCTTGCTTTTTTTTTTTGCGACGGAGTTTGCTCTTGTTGCCTAGGCTGGAGTGCAATGGTACGATCTTGGCTCACTGCAACCTCAACCTTCTGGGTTCAAGCAACTCTCCTGCCTCAGTCTCCCAAGTAGCTGGGATTACAGATGCATGCACCACCATGCCCGGCTAATTTTGTATTTTTAGTAGAGACGGGTTTCACCATGTTGATCAGGCCAGTCTCGTGACCCACACACCTTGGTGTCCCAAAGTGCTGGGATTACAGGCGTGAGCCACCATGCCTGTCCATTTTATATATTTTTTACTTTTATTTTTATGTAAAACTATTGCCTGGGCATGGTGGCTCACGCCTGTAATCCCAGCACTTTGGGAGACCAAGGCGGGCAGATCATCTGAGGGTGGGAGTTTGAGATCAGCCTGGCCAACATGGTGAAACCCCATACTACTAAAAGTACAAAATTTAGCCAGGCATGGTGGTACATGCCTGTAATCCCAAGCTACTTGGGAGGCTGAGGCAGGGAGAATAGCTTAAACTTGGGAGGTGGAGATTATTGTGAAACAAGATCATGCCACTGCACGCCAGCCTAGGTGACAGAGCAAGACTGTCTCAAAAAAAAAGAAAAATTAACAGGGCCGGGTGCGGTGGCTCAAGCCTGTAATCCCAGCACTTTGGGAGGCCAAGGCGGGTGGATCACGAGGTCAAGAGATCGAGACCATCCTGGTCAACATGGTGAAACCCCGTCTCTACTAAAAATACAAAAAATTAGCTGGGCATGGTGGTATGTGCCTGTAATCCCAGCTACTCAGGAGGCTGAGGGAGGAGAATTGCCTGAACCCAGGAGGCGGAGGTTGCGGTGAGCCTAGATTGCACCATTGCACTCCAGCCTGGGTAACAAGAGCGAAACTCCATCTCAAAAAAGATCCTTAGAGATAGGATCTTGCTCTGTCACCTAGGGTGAAGTGTGGTGGCACAATCTTGGCTCACTGCAGCCTTGACCTACCAGGCTCAAGTGATTCTTCTGGCTGAGACTCCGGGGTAGCTGGGACTACAGGCACGCACCACCATGCCCGGCAAATTTTATTAAATTTTTTGTAGAGATGGGGTCTCGCTCTATTGCCCAGGCTGGTCTTGAACTAGCCTCAAGCATTCCTCCTTCCTTGCCTTCTGGGATTACAGGCATCAGCCACCGCACCCAGCCGTCCTAGATTTTGGCTCTATAGTGCAGATGAGCACTGCAGGGAGCAGGAATGTGGAGTTTGGTGTGCAGCTAGGCAGCAGCTGGGTCTTACAACAATCCCTGTGAGTGTCTGGAAGTGAATTCAATCTCTTTCCAAGGAAGAAAACTGAGGCACTGAGGTGTTCCTAAGTGGGGACCAGGTATAGCCCAGGTTTAAACTCCAGTCGGATTCCAGATAAGTTTTTTTTTTTTTTTTTTTTTTTTGAGATAGTCTCACTCTGTCACCCAGGCTGGAGTGCAGTGGTGAGATCTTGGCTCACTGTAACCTCCGCCTCCTGAATTCAAGCAATTCTCCTGCCTCAGCCTCCTGAGTAGCAGGATTATAGGCATGCACCACCATGCCTGGTTAATTTCTGTATTTGTAGTACAGATAGGGCTTCACTATGTTGGTCAGGCTGGTCTCGAACTCCTGACTTTGTGGCTTTTTGGGGGGGTGGGGGGAACAGGGTCTTGCTCTGTTGCCCAGGCTGGAATGCAGTGGTATGATCACAGCTTACTGCAGCCTCAGTCTACCAGGCTCAGCCAGGCACGGTGGCTCACACCTATAATCCCAGCACTTTGGGAGGCTGAGGTGAGTTGATCACCTGAGGTCAGGAGTTTGAGACCAGCCTGCTGGCCAACGTGGTGACATCTCATCTCTACTAAAAATACAAAAAAATAGCTGGCCATGGTGGCGGGCACCTGCAATCCCAGCTACTCAGGAGGCTGATGCAGGAGATTCACTTGAACTCAGGAGGTGGAGGTTGCAGTGAGCCAAGATTGTGCCGTTGTACTCCAGCCTGGGCAGCAGAAACTCTCAAAACAAATTTTTTTTTCCAAGGCTCAAGGGATCCTTCCACCTCAGTCTCCCAAGTGGCTGGGAGTGCAGGTGTTTGCTACCACACCTGGCTGTTGTTTTTGATTTTTTTTGTAGAGACAGGGTCTTGCCAGGTTGCCCAGGCTGGTGTCAAACTCCTGGGCTCAAGCAACCCTCCTGCCTCAGCCTCCCAAAGTGTGAGTCACCATGCCTAGCCATGATTATAATATAAGTGTCTTAACTTGGGCTCTCTTTACACCATCCCTTCAGGGTGGAGACTTCAGTTCTCCCCATTCTACAAACTGGGAAGCTGAGGCTGGAGAGGTCAGGACTCGCCTGAGGTCCTACAGCCTCCCCTGGGACCCGGCTGGGGGTGGGGGCAGGGCTGGGACTTGGGGGGTGTTATGGAGGCCCTGACCCGTCATTCCCTGGCCCCCAGCTTCATGTGGAGTGACGCCCACCTGCACCGAGGTCTGGTGACCCTGCTGACCGGTGAAATCGCAGCCTCCTTCAGCCTTGAGTTCCGGACACTGAATGCAACCTCTTGGCCGCTCCCACCTGCACCCCCCCAGGGACCCTCAGTCATGAGGGGCCTGCAGCGGGGCCATAGCCCACACTGCATGTCCCGCCGCTGCTCTGTGGCCCCTGCATCGCCTCCACCGCCTGACGGTCCGCTGGCCCACCACCTGGCCGCCTGTCAAGTATCCCCTGCCGCCCCGGGGCTGACACTCAGTGACATCCTAAGGAGCATGCAGCACCCCCGGACCTCCAGCGGTCCCCTGGCCTGGCCCAGCCACTCCCTGTGGGACCTAAGCCGCCTGTCCCAGCTGTCTGGCTCCAGTGATGGGGACAATGAGGTGAGGCTTTGCGGCTGATGCCAGAGGAGATGGAACCTAGAAAGAGGAGGGCATTTGCCAGGTTGTGCAGCCTGGCTCCGGGGACCCTGTTCCAAGCCACAGAGCAGGAGGCGTTTCCTGAGGGCCCATGCCCTAGATTCCTAATGGCATCGTTTGTTCATTTCCTGCACCCCTACTGCGTGCCGGGCAGGTGATGCTGGGTGGTGTGGGGCAGAGACAGGAGAGCCCTGGGTGCAAATCCTGGCACAACACACTAGGTGAGGGATGGGGGGAAGCCAAGGACTTGACTTCTCTGAACCTCAGTATCTTCATCTAGGAATGGGTGGAGCAAGGGCACTCATTCTGGGTTTGGCTAGGGGAGGAAACCATGTGTCGGAAACCATGCGGCTAAATGAAATAGAGCGGTAATGATACAACAATGCATTCCTGAACCAGAGAGTTCGAGACCAGCCCGGCCAACGTGGTGAAACCCCGTCTCTACTAAAAGTACAGAAAGATTAGCTGGGTGTGGTGGGCACACCTGTAGTTCCAGCTACTCGGGAGACTAAGGCAGAATCAGTAGCAGTGAGCCGAGATCGTTCCACTGCACTCTAGCCTGGCAACAGAGTGAGACTGTCTCAAAATAATAATAATAAACAATAAATAGGCCAGCTGTGGTGGCTCACGCCTGTAATCCCATGGGAGGCCGAGGTGGGCAGATCACGAGGTCAGGAGTTGGAGACCAGCCTGACCAACATAGTGAAACCCTGTCTCTACTCAAAATACAGAAATTAGCCTGGTGTGGTGGTGGGCGCTGTAATCCCAGCTATTCAGGAGGCTGACGCAGGAGAATCACTTGAACCCGGGAGGCAGAGGTTGCAGTGAGCTGAGATAACGCCATTGCACTCCAGTCTGGGTGACAGAATAAGACTCCAGCTAATAAATAAATACATTCCTGAAGTGGAATTGATTAATTTCGTGACATCCTCATCCCAGGCCAGGAAGGCTACTTTTTTTTTTTTTTTTTTTTTTTTTTTTTGAGGTAGGGTCTTGCTCCGAAATGTCCTGGGAATCAAGAATTGTCCCCCTCTGTCCCAGACAAGGAAGGCTCCTAGCTGGAGAGGAGACGGGGGATGGGCAGGGGACAGGTCCTCACCTCCACCTGGTTCTGAGTACCCTCACCCAGCATCCCCTCTCTGGGCAAATATTTGCACCCCCTGGCAGATGCCAGTGCTTCTGGTTCCTCCCCAGCTGCAGAGGTGGCGACCCAGCTCCCTGTCCACTCTGTAGGTTGCGGGGGGGATCCCAGGCCTGCCCTCTCACTTCCACACTTCCCCCTCCGGCTCCCTTCACCGTCCTCCTTGCCTGCCTCCTCCTCTGCAGCCCACTCCTTTCTGTCCCTCCTCCTGCTGCGTTCCTGCCTCTGCCTCCTCCCCTTTCACCCCCTCCCCCGCTTCCTCTCTTTCCTTTTTCCTCCTCCCTCACCTTCTCCCTTACCCCTTCCTCCTCTTTTACCTCCCCTCCCACCTTTTTTTTTTTTTGGAGACAGGGTTTCACTCTGTCTTCCAGGCTGGAATGCAGTGACGTGATCTCGGCTCACTGTAGCCTCAACCTCCTGGGCTCAAGCAATCCTTCCACCTCAGCCTCCCAAGTAGCTAGGAATAGAGGTGCATCCATCACACCCAGCTAATTTTTGTATTTTTTGTAGAGATGAGGTCTCACTGTGTTGCCCAGGTTGGTCTCAAACTCTTGAACTTAAGCAATCCAAAGTGCTGGGACTAGAGGCATGAGCCATCACACCCAGTCTCCCTGTCTCCTCCCTTCCCTCCTTTCCCTCCCTCATCCTCTCTTTCCACCTACCTCACATCCTCTATCACTTTCTTTTCTGTTTTGTTTTTTGAGACTGAGTCTCGCTCTGTCACCCAGGCTGGAGTGCAGTGGTGAGATCTCAACTCACTGCAGGCCCTGCCTTCCAGGTTCAAGTGATTCTCCTGTCTCAACCACCTGAGTAGCTGGGATTACAGGTGCCCGCCACCATGCCTGGCTAATTTTTCTATTTTTAGTAGAGATGGGGTTTCACCATGTTGGCCAGGCTGGTCTCAAACTCCTGACCTCAAGTGATCCGCCTGCCTCTGCCTCCCAAAGTGCTGGGATTACAGGCATGAGCCACCGCGCCTGGCTGCCTATCACTTTCCCTGCTTCTCTCTTGCATCACCTCCTGCCTTCTCTGGCTCTGGGATGCCCCCAGGTCCCTACCCCAGCCTCTTCTCACCTCCCTCTCTTTCCCTCCACAGGTCAAGAAGTCCTGGGGCTCCAAGGACACCCCAGCCAAGGCTCTGATAAGGCAGCGGGCACTGGAGGAGGCCCCTGGGGGGAGACAGACTCCCGACTTCCGCTGCCATGGCCCCAGCCCTGGGGTAGTGCCCTGCCCCTGCCCCCTACCCACCATCTCCACTCTATGTCCCCAGCCCAAAGGTGGCTCGGTGGGGATGCTACACTGAAACTTTCTGAGCCCAGAGGTGTCAGGCCTTCAGACTGGGTCCCCCGGCCAGGAGTTGGGGGGCCACCCTGACCAGGATCCCAAGCCAAATAATCTGCTGGCCCACCCAAGGAGCAGAGCCAGACGACTGTCAGCTCAGAGCCCCCTGCCTTGGACAAGGCTTCAGGCCTCGGTGTGAAGCAGAGGGTCGTTCTTGCCTTGTTCTGCAACTTGGGGCCAGCCGGGTGTGGCGGCACACACCTATGATCCCGGCATTTCCAGAGGCTGAGGTGGGAGGGTTGCTTGAGGCCAGGAGTTGCGGACCAGCCTGGGCAACACAGTAAGACCCCATCTCTACAATAAATAAAACAAATCAGCTGGATGTGATGGCGCACGCCTGTAGTCCCAGCTACTCCGGAGGCTGAGGTGGGAGGGTCACTTGAGCTCAGGCGGTAGAGGCAGCAGTGAGCCAAGATCATGTCATTGTGCTCCAGCCTGGGTGACACAGCAAGAGGCTGTCTCCTAAAAAAAAAAAAAAAAAAAAAGCTGGGTGAGGTGGCTCACTCCTGTTATCCCAGCACTGAAGGCAGGTGTATCACCTGAGGTCAGGAGTTCAAGACCAACCTGACCAACATGGTGAAACCCCACCTCTCCTAAATACAGAAACTAGCCAGGCGTGATGGTGGTGCACGCCTGTAATCCCAGATACTTGGGAGGCCAAGACTGGAGAATTGCTTGAACCTGGGAGGCAGAGGTTGCAGCAAGCCAAGATCACACTATTGCACTCCAGCCTGGGCAACAGAACAAGACTCCATCTCAAAAAAAGGACTTGGGCAAGCCCATTGCCTGCACCTCAGTGTCGCAGCCCAGAAAATGGGCTGGAAATGTCCACAAGCTGCAGATCCTAAAAAGCACAGGCGCTGCTAAAGAGGGTCGGGCCTTCCTGAGGAGAGACCGGCTTGGGCCCTGAGCTGGAGCTGTGGCGGGAAGATGAGGAGTTGCTGCCAAGCACACTGTGCCCAGGAGTTGTGGGGAAACTGAGGCGAGGAGCTGAATAATGAAGGACTGGAGGGTAGTGCAGCCACAGCCACTGGGGAAAGGGGTGGGTGGCAGGACTTTCTGTGGGTGCTGAGGGGGCAGGTCTGCTGGAGCTCCGCTTTATCTCTGCTTGGAATAAAAGCGCTTCATGCCAAAAACATGTGTTATCACAGCCTGGCTCCGAATCCAGGAGTCCACAACCCAGCCCCCTCCTCCTTCAGACAGAAGTCCAGGCCTCAAACCCTCCTCCCTCAGACCCCGGAGTCCAGATCCCAGCCCCTCCTCCCTCAGACCCCGGAGTCCAGATCCCAGACCCTCTTCCCTCAGACCCAGGAGTCCAGATCCTAGCCCCTCCTCCCTCAGACCCAGGAGTCCAGATCCCAGCCCCTCCTCCCTCAGACCCAGGTGTCCAGGTCCCCAGACCCTCCTCCTTCAGACCCAGGAGTCTAGGTCCCCAGCCCCTCCTTCTTCAGACCCAGGGGTCCCTACCTTCAGCCACTCCTCCCTCAGACCCAGGAGTCCAGGTCCCTAGCCCCTCCTCCCTCAGACATGGGAGTCCAGGCCCCCAGCCCCTCCTCCCTCAGACACAGGGGTCCAGGTCCCAGCCCCTCCTCCCTCAGACCCAGGAGTCCAGGCCCCCAGCCCCTCCTCCCTCAGATCCAGGAGTCCAGGTCCCCAGCCCCTCCTCCCTCAGACCCTGGAGTTTAGGTCCCCAGTCCCTCCTCCCTCAGACCCAGGAGTCCAGGTCCCCAGCCCCTCCTCCCTCAGACCCAGGAGTCCAGACCCCACACCATTTTTTCTCAGACCCAGGAGTCCAGGCCCCCAGCCCCTCCTCCTTCACACTCAGGAAGCTAAACCCCCAGACCATCTTTCCTCAGACTCTGGAGTCCAGGCCCCCAGCCCGTCCTCTCTCAGACCGGGGAGTCAGGCCCCGTCCGGGAAGGTGAGATACCCAGCGCTGGGTTCCCGCAGCACCTTTGCGTCCGGGTGGAGATTCTGAGTTGGGGACCCTCCGGAGGCCTTGGTGTGGATTCTCCACGCCCAGCTGCATGCCCTACCACCTCCACAGCACATCAAGGAACCTGGGCAAAAGCAACGTGTTTATTCTCAGGGTCACGGGTGCGAGGGCTCAGAGGGCTGGCCCAGGCCGGGGCCCGGACTGGGACTGGGGCTGGGCTTTGGCTCGGGGCTGGGCTCAGGGCCCGGGCTGTCGTCCTCCTCCGGGTCTTCATCCCAGGCGAAGGTCGGCATCCCTTGCATCTGCTTGAGGTAGACGGGATCGAACGCATCACTCTGGGCCACCGCGAAGTGGTTCTTCCAGTCGCCGCAGAACCCTGGAGGGGAGGGGGGATTGGGGTGAGGAGCCTCTGGGGAGCACCACGCCCCTACCTCCCACATTCCAGCACCCTCTTTCCTCCTCCCGGCCCTTGCTGAGCCGTTCCCTGTGCCAGAAACTCCGTCACCCCCACCCTCCACCTTGCCCCCTTTGTGTCCTTTGGTGAGGGAGTCTTGGCCCTTCTACCAGTCACCTGGCGCCGTTCTCACCTCGGGTCTCACTGGCCCCGCTCCTGCAGGCTTCCTGCCTTCCTCCCCTTATCCAGGACCCCTTAAGTCTCTGCCCAGAACCTCTGTCTCCACCCCCTAATTCCTACCCACCTTACAGCCCGTGTCACCTCCTTTGCGATCAGTCCCAACCCTCCCCTGCTAGAACGAGGCCACCTGTTTCAGTGTCCCCACAACACTCCATGCTGCTGCTATCACTGCTCAGACACGGAAGGGACCCCCTTCTGCAGACGCTGTGCTCAGGGCTTGCAACCAGTTTGCTGATTGGTGAAGCAAGTGAGCCTTGGGAACCCTCTAAGCCTCAGTTTTCTTTTTTGCCTTTTTTTTTTTTTTTTTTTTTTTGAGACAGAGTCTTATTGTGTTGCCCAGGCTGGAGTGCAGTGGTGTGATCTTCTCTCACTGCATCCTCCGTCTCCCAGGTTCAAGGGATTCTCCTGCCTTAGCCTCCTGAGTAGCTGGAATCACAGACATCTGCCACCAAGCCCGGCTAATTTTTGTATTTTTAGTAGAGATGGGGTTTCACCACCTTGGCCCGGCTGGTCTTGAACTCCTGACCTCGTGATCTGCCCACCTCGACCTCCCAAAGTACTGGGATTACAGGTGTGAGACAATGCACCCAGCCCAAGTCTCAGTTTTCTCACTGTGGGGCTATCACTGGGGCATCACCACTTAACTGGAAACCTGGAGCTGATGGCATTCAGGTGACTGTAGTTTGCCTTTTTTTTTTTTTGAGATGGAATTTCATTTTTATTGGCTAGGCTGGAGTGCAATGGTGTGATCTCAGCTCACTGCAACCTCTGCCTCCCAGGTTCAAGCGATTCTCCTACCTTAGCCTCCTGAGTAGCTGGATCACGCCCAGCTAATTTTTTGTATATATATATATATATATATTTTTTTTTTTTTTTTAGTAGAGACAGGGTTTCATTATGTTGGCCAGGCTGCTCTGGAACTCACAACCTCAGGTGATCCACCTGCCTCGGCCTCCCAAAGTGCTGGGATTTCAGGCATGAGCCATGGCTCCCGGCTGCGTAGTTTGCCTTTTAGCAAGTGCATGTGCCCCATGTTACCCAACACCCTTAGTGAGGTCATTGTAGGGGGAGCTTCCTGGGGTGGGTTGAATAATGACTCCCCCCATTATTAAAAAAAAGAACCCACGTTCTTTTTTTTTTTTTGAGACTGAGTCTCTGTCACCCAGGCTGGAGTGCAACTTCTGCCTCCTGGATTCAAGCGATTTTCCTGCCTCAGCCTCTCGAGTGGCTGGGATTACAGGCGTGTGCCACCATGCCCAGCTAATTTTTATATTTTTACTAGAGATGGGGGTTTCACCATGTTGGTCAGGCTGGTCTTGAACCCCTTACCTCGTGATCCACCAGCCTCAGCCTCCCAAAATGCTGGATTACAGGTGTGAGCCACTGCACCTGGCCTACCATAGCCACACTCTAATCCTTGGAACCTATGAATATGTGACCTTAAGTGGCAAAAGGGATTTTGCAGATAATTAAATTAAGCTAAAGATCTGGAGATCGGGAGAGGACCCTGAAGTATCTGGGTGGGCTCAGTGTCATCCTCACATGGGTCTCTGTAAAAGAGAGGAAGGGGCCAAGCGCGGTGGCTCACGCCTGTAATCCCAGCACTTTTGGAGGCTGAGGCGGGTGGATCACAAGGTCAAGAGATCGAGACCATCCTGGTCAACATGGTGAAACCCCGTCTCTACTAAAAATACAAAAATTAGCTGAGCATGGTGGCGCGTGCCTGTAATCCCAGCTACTCAGGAGGCTGAGGTAGGAGAATTGCCTACTCAGGAGGCGGAGGTTGCAGTGAGCCAAGATTGCGCCATTGCACTCCAGCCTGGGTAATAAGAGCGAAACTCAGTCTCAAAAAAAAAAAGAGAGGAAGGGCTGGATGCAGTGACTCATGCCTGTAATCCCAGCACTCTGGGAGGCTGAGATGGTGGATCACGAGGTTAGGAGTTCAAAACCAGCTGGGCCAAGATGGTGAAACCCCATCTCTACTAAAAACTACAAAAATTATCCAGGTGCAGTGGCAGGCACCTGTAATCCCAGCTACTCGGGAGACTGAGGCAGTAGAATCACTTGTACCTGGGAGGCGGAGGTTGTGGTGAGCCGAGATCACACCACCGTACTCCTGGGCAACAAGGGCGAAACTCTGTCTCAAAAACCAAAAACCAAAAAAACAAACAAAAAATTAAAAGAAAAACACACCAGTCAGGAGCAGTGACTCACGCCTATAATCCTAGCCCTCTGGGAACCCAGGCAGCTGGATCACTTGAGGTCAGGAGTTGGAGACCAGCTTGACCAAGATAGTGAAACCCTGTCTCTACTAAAAATACAAAAATTAGCTGCGTGTGCCAGCAGTCCCAGTTACCCTGGAGACCGAGGAAGGAGAATCACTTGAACCTGGGAGGCAGAGGTTGCGGTGAGCCGAGACTGAGCCCCTGCACTCCAGCCTGGGTGACAGAGCAAGGCTCTGTCTCAAAAAAAAAAAAAAAAAGTTGGGGGGGAGCAGGTAAATGTGTGTTGTTGTGAGCCCTGCAGTTTGCGGTGTTTTGTTACAGTAGGAGGAAGAAAAGACTACGCCCGGGCCTGTGCCCGTTGACCCAGCGCTTGAGTATTTCCGCACTGAAAGGGACTGTGGAGGAGGATTTGCAGAGACTCTAAATCTCCCCTCGGGTACATTTGCAGTGCTTCTGGAGGTTTTGCTCTTGTTGAACGGTGGCTGGCACGTGTGCCGGGCCAGTGCTAAACCCTGTGTGTGGTCAACCCTGGGGCCACAGTGCCTCCGTTCGCCCAGTGCTACAGCTGGGTGAAACAAGCCCAGAGAGGTCAAGAAACTCGCAGGTTACACAGCTGGGCAGTGCCTAGTGGGCTCCGAACCCCAGATCCCCCACACCTTTCCAGAGGAAGGCCCCATGGCGGTGGTCCAGCAGGCTGAAGGGCAACAGCATATAGCTTGACATGGTGTTGGCCTTCATGGCCATGAAGGCGCACCATGAAGGTCGAGTGCGCCACAACGGAGCCCAGCGCCTCCTTGCCCAGCGGATGGCCCAGTAAGGGAGACCTGTGGGGATTGCTCCTGTGTGAGGCCCCTAGGAAATGGGCCTCGCCATAGGGTGAGCTTAAGTCAGGACACAGATCCCCGGTGTTTGGAAAACTCTGCCCCTACCGTGAAAGCTCTCTTTCCCTCCCCCATGAAGAGGCTCCCTTATCTCTCACTCTACATACCGCTCTAGCCTTCCCGCCCGGCCGCAGCCACCCGCCGCCCGGCTTCCCGCCTCCCAGTTTCCCGCTGCCTGGCTTCCCTGCCCAGCGGTTTAAACTGACCAACCGTTGCCCGCCACCTCAGCTCCCCCGGCCTTCCCACTCCCTCAGCCCTTCAGCCCCCCTATAAAAGAGCTCTGCTCCTCTGAGCAGCGCGGCCATTCTCCTCTTCCTCCCGGCTGGTCCGCCCGGAGGCTCTTTCCTCTCAATAAAGCCTGAACTTAAGGAATTTCCTCTAGCCTGCGGTCCAGTTTTTTCCGAACGAGCTCAGTCTTCCCGCAGAGGGTAGGTCGGACAAATGGTGCCGGAAACCCGGGGCGGGGCCGTTGGCCCGGCCACGGCCCCCCTCCCCGACCTACCCAACACTGGCCCTGCCACCTCCACGTTCCGATTAAGGTAAGCCAAGTTTTTCTTGCTTTGCCTTCCCCCGCTTCCTGTCTCCTCTTCCTACGGCATGGTGCAGTTGCTCCCTCTCCGGCGTTCCGCACGGACTCCTTGCCTAGTCTCGGCCGAGCCAAGGTAGTCTTCCATTCCCGCTCCAGGAGCCTTCCGAGGGACAGCCACCAGACAGGGGACGCCCCTCTGACCGCTTCCCTTTCCGTACTTAATTGTACTCCGGGGAATTTGCAACGAACGGGGACGCCTTTTCGTTGCATCTGCCCATCCGCGCCGGAGAGTCTGTAGCTGCGCCTGCCATGGGAAATTCGGAGTCCAAAATACCTCTGAGCACCCCCCTCGGGTGCTTGCTGCGAAATTTTACCAAATTGGGATATTCCCAAACCCTCAGAAAGAAAAAGCTTATTTTCCTGTCCCACGTGGCTTGGCCCCAATACAAACTCAGTAACCAGTCACATTGGCCCCCGACTGGCACTTTTGATTTCAACACCCTCCGAGATCTCGACGATTTTTGTCGCCGCGCGGGCAAGGACAATGAAATTCCTTACGTCCAGGCTTTTTGGGACCTCCGTACCCACCCTGACCTATGTTCTTCCTGCTCCACCTACCAAATCCTCTTATCTCGAATCCCCCGTAAATCTTCCTCCACTACCTCTCCCCCTCCCTACTCCTCACCGGAGGATCTGCCTGAACATCTGTCCTCTCCTGCCAATCTCAGCAACCACTCGCCATCAACGGCACACCCTTCCCCCACTCCCTCTGCACCTCCTACCTCAGAGGCCCTGCCTCGCTCTCCCTCTACTCCCTGCGAGCCCCCTCCCTCAGAGGCTGCACTTCCTCTTGCCTCTCCGGTGGCGGCCCACACCCGCTCCCACCAGCCAGCTATCCTGGCCCCGCTCCGAGAAGTAGCAGGCGCAGAAGGTTTAATCAGGGTCCATGTTCCTTTCTCACTCCAAGACCTGTCCCAAATTGAGAAACGTTTAGGATCCTTCTCAGCCAACCCGTCCACCTATATTAAAGAATTCCAATACCTCACTCAAACATAAGAAGCCCTAGTCCGGTACACTCGACTAGACCCAGCCTCCCAAAATGGGGCCACTGTATTAGCCTCCCATTTTATCTCCTAATCAGCACCCGACATAAGAAAGAAACTAAAGAAAGCAGAAGAGGGGCCAGAGACTCCCATCCAAGACCTGGTAAAAATGGCCTTTAAAGTATTCAATGCCAGGGAAGATGCGGCTGAGGCTGCCCGCCAAACTCGCATGAAGCAGAAGGCTGCCCTCCAGACCCAAGCCCTAGTGGCGGCTCTAAGGCCGGCAGGGAACCAGAAGCCCAAGGCCGAAACCCATGCCCCTCCAGGGGCATGTTTCAAATGTGGAAAGGAAGGACACTGGTCCCGAGCCTGTCCACAACCACGGCCAGCAACTAAGCCTTGCCCTATCTGCCACCTCGCGGGACACTGGAAGTCAGACTGCCCCAGCTTCCCCAGGGTGCCAGTTCCTCAAAACAGACACACTGGCGTTACACAGCCGGCAGTCACCCTCAGTATGGAGGAGCCTGCTTGCCAGGAGCCGACCTTTGAGGGAGCTCCGTTCCCCAGTCTACTAGGGCTGCTAGACGACTAGCGGGGCCCTGGCTTTCTGACTCCGGTTACCCTCGCCGAGCCAAGGGCCACACTTCAGGTAGCAGGTAAAAGTGTCTCCTTCTTGCTAGACACGGGGCTACCTACTCCGCACTTCCTTCCCATTCTGGCCGTCTCACCCCTTCCCAGGTCTTGGTCATGGGAATCGACGGAACCCTGAGTATCCCCTACCAAACCCCACCACTCATGTGCTCATATAACTCCACTCCATTTACCCACCCTTTTTTAGTAATCCCCACCTGCCCAGTACCCCTCCTAGGACGAGACATCCTTTCAAAGCTGAAGGCCGTCATAACCTTCCCCACCGCCAACCCACACAGCCTCTTTCTCCTAGCCCTCACCTCAAATACCGAACCCCAAAAAGCCCTATCCGAACTCCTCCCCAGAGTCCATCCTCAGGTCTGGGACACTAACAACCCGTCTGTAGCTACCCACCACCAGCCAGTTCAGGTCCGCCTTAAAGACTCCTCGCCTCGTTTTCTCTCCCACCCTCAATTTCCCATCTCTAAAGCCCACCGTATGGGTATCAGACCCATCATAGAGAAACTAAAGGGTCAAGGCCTCCTAATCTGCATTAACTCCCCATGTAATACCCCCATCCTCCCAGTACGAAAACGCTCAGGACAATATAGGCTGGTCCAGGACTTGCGCTTAGTCAATGAAGCTGTAATTCCCATACATCCAGTTGTCCCCAACCCATACACCATTCTGTCTCTCACATTCCCCCAGGGACCACCTGCTTCTCAGTCTTAGACCTAAAGGATGCCTTCTTCACTATACCTCTACACCCTAACTCCTACTTTATCTTTGCCTTCACTTGGGATGATCCCATTACGAACATGTCCCAACAACTGGCTTGAGCAGTCCTTCCACAGGGCTTTGGAGATAGCCCCCACCTGTTCGGCCAGGAACTCACCACCGACCTGCTCCACTGCAACCTCAAGCCCTCTCACCTCCTCCAGCTGGATCGAAGCTTACCCCACAGCCTCTGAGTCTGCTGGGACAGTAGCCACTCATCTCATTCAAGACATCATCCCACGCTTTGGACTCCCGGCCACCAGTCAGACAACAGCCCAGCCTTTATCTCCAAAGTCACTAATGCTGTTTCTACCTCTCTAGGAATTCAGTAGAAGCTACATGCCGCCTACCATCCCCAGTCCTCTGGTAAGGTAGAACGGGCCAATAGCCTAATAAAGGAGCATCTGACCAAGCTCATGCTTGAGCTCCGCCAATCCTGGGTAACCTTGCTTCCTATCGCCCTCACCAGGTTAAGAGCAAGCCCCCGAGGCCCATCACAGCTTAGCCCGTTTGAGCTGCTGTATGGTTGCCCCTTCCTACTTTCAACTCCCGGAGATTTAATTCTTATTAAATCCCTCTCCCCAAAGTCCCTCGCCCCCAAGTAGGAAGGACCATACACAGCCCTCCTTACCACTCCATCAGCTATAAGAATTGCTGAAGTCCCATCTTGGGTTTACTTGTCTCGGGTAAAAAAGCCCCCTCATGGACCCTCCCTATGCTAGAAGGCTGTTCCTACTGGCCCTTTATCTGTCAAACTTACCAGGGCCTAGCAGCCACACCCCCTACAGATGGAGATTCTTCCTAACTGAAAACTATACAAAAACCACCTTCATCTGTAACACCCCCCCATACAGCCACAACCATCTTCTTGCAACTTCCGACTGCCCTGCAGCCGGATGCCGAAGCGCCAAATGCTACAAGCACCGCTCCACCACACTCGGTGGGCTGCTTTTCTGCCCCAGCAGTAGGCATCTCCCTAGTAACCTCGGCAGTTGCAGCTGGACTGGGAGGAGGAGCACTAACCCACTCTCACCAAGCTATAGCCCGGCTAACCTCACAATTCCAAACTGCTGTTGATGACTCTGCTGAGTCATTAGCATCACTCCAACGACAGATTACCTCAGTTGCCCAAGTTGCCTTACAGAACCGAAGAGCCCTGGACTTGCTCACTGCCGAATGAGGAGGAACCTGCATCTTCCTACAGGAAGAGTGCTGTTACTACATCAATGAATCCGGCCTAGTAGAAACCCGAATCGAGAGCCTCCAGAGACTCAAAACTAACCTGCAGAATCAGAAGTTCTCGGCTGAAGCCACAGCGTGGTGGTCTTCCTCTATGTATACCCTCTTGTCCCTGTTGCTTGGGCCCCTAGTAGCCTTTTGCCTAATCTTACTTATTGCTCCTTGCTTTCTACAGTTCCTACAGTGGTGCTTTCAAGAACTGACTCGAGTCACCATCCACCAGATGCTGATCCAACCCTACCCTGAACGAGTGCAAGAAGCAGACCTCTACCCGAACATCCAGGCTCCTTAGGAAAAGAGACCTCTTCAGAACCCCCCGTCGACCCTTGTCAGCAGGAAGTAGCCAGAGAGACAACCGACGCCCCTGACCCCCTCTTTTCTTCTTTTCTTTTAAGGAGTCGGGAATGTTTGGAAAACTCTGCCCCTACCGTGAAAGCTCTCTTTCCCTCCCCCATGAAGAGGCTCCCTTATCTCTCACTCTACATACCGCTCTAGCCTTCCCGCCCGGCCGCAGCCACCCACCGCCCGGCTTCCCGCCTCCCAGTTTCCCGCTGCCTGGCTTCCCTGCCCAGCGGTTTAAACTGACCAACCGTTGCCCGCCACCTCAGCTCCCCCGGCCTTCCCACTCCCTCAGCCCTTCAGCCCCCCTATAAAAGAGCTCTGCTCCTCTGAGCAGCGCGGCCATTCTCCTCTTCCTCCCGGCTGGTCCACCCGGAGGCTCTTTCCTCTCAATAAAGCCTGAACTTAAGGAATTTCCTCTAGCCTGCGGTCCGGTTTTTTCCGAACGAGCTCAGTCTTCCCGCAGAGGGTAGGTCGGACACCCGGTTAGTGGAGTCGAGCTGAGGGAAAGCAGGAACCAAGAGAGGGACTGTTATTCTAAATAATTAACAGACATTACTTTATGGATATGAAGACTTGGGAGGCATTGTGTCTACTTTCGGCTTGTTATGGTTTATTGCTTGATTGTGTTCATTTTGAACCTGTGTTACTTACTTACCGTAACTTACAGGGCGTAACTGTAACTTACCGTAACTTACAGGGCGTGACTGTAATCTACTTACCTTGACCTATTGGGCGTAACCTACTTACTGGGCGTAGCCTTACTGCGCTTAACTTACTTACTGGGTGTAACTTGCTTACTGTAACTTAAGTACGTTAATCTGGCATAAACAACTTTAACTTCAGAAAAGTATATAATGAAACACATTGCAAAAATAAAATTGCTGCGTGAGCATAGCGCATGTAGCCCTCCAGACCTCACATTTTCTATCTCCTTTTTTTCCGGCGCGCGCTCTCTTCCAGGTTTGGGACCCTCTTGCTGGCGAGATTCCCGGGCTCGCGTTCAGTTCACAACAGAACTAAGTCTTTGAAATCTAGTGTGTATTTCATACTTACAGTGCATCTCTGCGTGGACGTGTGGCTAGCGCATTAGACAGGGCTGGTCCACAGCCTGGGCATGGTACTTGGCACCAGCCTTGGGAAAGTGACCAAGCACCTGGCCTCTGGAGCCAGGCTCGTGGGATGTGCATTTCCACCTCTTCCATCTCCCACCTGTCGATTTGGGAAGCAAAACCTTATGCCTCCATGTCAAGGAAAAATGTTTGCCACTATGTAGGGTGTTTTTGAGGACTGACAGAATGTACCACTGAGGGCCCCTGGCCCTCCCACACACATAGCAGATCTTCATGGAATCCAGGTACCCTCTGGGCTGAGCCATAAAGACAAGGAAGGCCTGGAAGGCCCGTGACCATGCTGGCTGTGATGCCTCCTAGCTGACCTCCCCCTCCCCTTCTCTCTCCCCCCAACCGCCCCCACTGGGCAAGAGACCCCTCACCTGTCCAACCTCTTGTGTTGCAGCTTGCCCTGTGCCACTTTTTCTTCAACATCTCCGGTATCTTACTGTGGTACCCGATCCCGTTCACTCGCCTGCCCATCCGCATGGCCAAGGGGCTGGGCAACATCTCTGCCAAGTATCGCTGGTTCACAGTCTTCTACCTGATCGTCTTCTTCTTCCTGATCCCGCTGACGGTGTTCGGCCTCTCGCTGGCCCGCTGGCCGGTGCTCGTGGGCGTCGGTGTGCCCGTCCTCTTGATCGTTATCCTGGTACTGTGCCTCCGCCTGCTGCAGTCCCGCTGCCCACGCATCCTGCCCAAGATACTCCAGAACTGGAACTGCCTGCCGCTGTGGATGCGCTCGCTGAAGCCCTGGGACGCCGTGGTCTCCAAGCTGGCCGGCTGCTTCCAGCTGCGCTGTTGCTGCTGCTGCCGCCTGTGCTGCCTACTTTGTGGCTGCAAGTGCTGCCGCTGCAGTAGGTGCTGCAAGGACTTGGAGGAGGGGCAGGAGGCGCGGGGGAGGGGGCCGTCAAGGCCCCTGAGACCTTTGACAACATAACCATTAGCAGAGAGGCTCAGGGTGAGGTCCCTGCCCGAATGCACGGCCTTGTAGGGGGCCGCCTGGGTCGCCAGAGGTTGTGGGGAGGGATCTTGGGTCCTGCGTGCTCTCCTCTCTCCCACTGCTGCCCCCCCCTTTTTTTTTTTGAAACGGAGTTTTGCTCTTGTTACCCAGGCTGGAGTGCAATGGCGCAATCTCGGCTCACCGCAACCTCCGCCTCCTGGGTTCAGGCAATTCTCCTGCCTCAGCCTCTCGAGTAGCTGGGATTACAGGCACGCGCCACCATGCCCAGCTAATTTTTTGTATCTTTAGTAGAGACGGGGTCTCACCATATTGACCAGGATGGTCTTGATCTCTTGACCTCGTGATCCACCCGCCTCGGCCTCCCAAAGTGCTGGGACTACAGGCTTCAGCCACCGCGTCCGGCCTGCTGCCCCCTTTCATCACTTCAAGGAGATTTGTTTCAAATTAGTGGATGAAATTGATACACTCCCACCTAACTTGATTCCCTGTGGCTTGGATAGGCCTGCAGGGCAGTTTGATTCCAGCCCCTGGAGACTCAGTAGTCTGTTACTCCAGGAAGACACAGGACAATACCTAAAGAGAATTAGAGAATGAACGTGGCTGGAAAGATCGCTAATCCTACACATAGCTGGGTTGGTCAGTAGAACCTATTTTCAGACTCGAAAACCATCTTCAGAGAGAAAAGACCCAGGGAAGGAATGTATGGGAGGCTTCCCCAGATGGGGAAGTCTATTCTCTATGACTATCAAGCTCAGGCCTCTCTTTTTTTTTTAAACCAAAGTCTGGCAACCAAGAGCAGCAGCCCCATGGCCTCCTTGATGGTGATCAGCCCCCGGGAGCATCTGCTCTGCTAATTGTTATGTTGTCAAAGGGTCAGGGGACACAGCATCATTATTTGGAAACCGAAGGTCACAAGTGTGGGTCCGTCCCACTTCCTAGTGCTCCCACATTTCCCATCAGGGTTTCCTCACCTGGACAGGTGTGCTCATCCAAGCAGTTCACCCGCAGTGTCCTTGTCCTCACGCTTCAAGGATGGGAGCCACACCTGAACTACAGAGAGTTCAGGCTGGATATTCACGCCCACCTGCTGCTCTTGTCTTAGGAGACAGAGAGAGTGGGGCAGATGGAGGAGAAGAGAGTGGGGAATGAGTAGCTTGGCATTCAGGGGATAGGTGTATCTGCCAAAAGGGCCCCAGGTTCTGAATTTAGAGAACTTAGAAGCCAAATTAAAACCCATTGTGGCCAAGGCCTAATGCTCCTCTCTTGGTCAGACAACAAAAACCCTCCCTGTTAGATCTTTTGAAATAAAACATGCAAATTCTCCAGCCTGCATGCTGCCACCTTGAATCCCAGGGAGTATCTGCGTCTGGAATAGCTCCTCACCCCTCTCAGCCTCCTCACTTTCTGTGCAAGATGACTTCCTAGGTTAACTTCCTTCTTTCCATCCCCCACCCACTGGAATCTCTTTCCAAACATTTTTCCATTTTCCCATAGATGGGCTTTGATTAGCTGCCATCTCCATGCCTGCAAAGCTCCAGACTTTTCTCAGGGTGGGGAAATCTGCACCCAGTTGGACTGCCCGGTGAAGTGAGATCATTGAATACAGTCGAGTGCACGTGTGTCTGGATCAAAGGTATGCGCTCCTTCTCATTCTAGATGCCTTCTCTGCCTTCCACAGCCTCCTGCCATTACATCACTGCCCCCCCACCCACCCACCCCCAACCATCCCAATTCTTCCTGGCCAATGAGCTCCAGCCTTATCTAGGAAAGGGGGAGTAGATGTAGCCATGTGGCAAGATCGGGTCCTCCCCTATCCCAGCTTCTCCACTGTCCCAGCAGGTCAGGATATCAGACAGTCCTCCCCTGACCTTCACCCTTGTAGATAGCAATTCCCAAACAGAGTCAAATTCTCTATATTTATAGTCACAGCCCTGTGCAGCATTTTTTATAAGTTATATAGTAAACGATCTGGATGATTTTGTGCTTCTAGTGCTCTCAGTTGGAAATCAGGCAGCGTTTGTCTATGAAATAGGAAGAAAGAAACCACTTTGTATATTTTGTAACATCACCTCTGTGGCCATGACTGCCCACACACTCTGTACATACATAAGTTAAACCCGGGCAGGGGCTGTGGCCATCTTTGTACTCCAGTGATTTTTAAAAATTGGATCTTTGTACTTGCATCGATTGTATAATTTTGAGACCAGGTCTTGTTATATTGTTCAGGCTGGTGTCAAACTCCTGGGCTCAAGCAATCTGCCCTCCTCAGCCTCCCAAAGTGCTGAGATTAGAGGCATGAGACACCACACCAGGCCTGTTGCGGTTTTTTTTTTTTTTATTTAACTGGTTGTGGGAAGGGAGAAGTAAAATCATCAAACCCAAAAGGCGTGTGTTCTTTTAATTACAGGGATATAGGGACCTCTTTGGATCTGTTTTATGCAAATGTGAGTTCTCTTTCCTCACCAGACATCACTACCCACCACTTAGCATCCCACCCTGCAGCTGCATCATTGTGGGGCCTCTTGTTCAAAAACCTGGGAAGAAGTGTCATTATGGACACTAAAAAGACAAAACTTCACTTTCTGTTATAGTCTCCCTTGAGTCGCCATGGAAATTTTTCTATTAAACACCATTCCAAGTAAAAAGTTGAGATTTAACTTCTTAGCATGAATTTCACAGCTCATCTTTACATTGTGCAATGCTGATTTCAGATGCAAACATAAGGCCTATTAATTCGTCTGTGGAATCATTGACATGACGCAGCTCTTATTTGTAGCTCACACATGTATTTTATTCCTGTGAGAACAGGGAGAGCATTGCACAAAACTAGCTCAATTATTTTGATGTCACTTTTTTTTTTTGACAGAGTGAGATATTGTCTCATTCTGTCACCCAGGCTACAGGGCAGTGGTGCAATCTCTGCTCACTGTAACCTCTGCCTCCCAGGTTCAAGGGATTCTCCTGCCTCAGCCTCCTGAGTAGCTGTGATTACAGATGCACACTGCCACACCCAGCTAATATTTGTATTTTAATAGAGACGGGCTTTCACCATGTTGGCCAGGCTGGGCTCGAACTCCTGACTTCAGGCGATACACCTGCCTCAGCTTCCCAAAGTGCTGGGATTACAGGTGTGAGCCACCATGCCCGGCCTGATTTCACATTTTGTGCACATTCTGCCAATGCTCTCTGCCTTCCTGATGGGTAAGGAAGAACTGAAAGGAAAAAGCAGTGGGCCACCCTTTCCATATTAGCATTTTTCAGCCTAAGTAATTGGCTACTAAAGGGAAGTGATGTGAGTGAGAAAAACACGATAGGGTTTCTTAG